ATAATATTCTTCAAACCAATATCTTTCTCATCAAATAACTTCTCCAGTGGTTTTTCCTTTCGTGTGTCAGACTTTAAATTCCAAACAAATAGACATACTTTTTGTGCTCAATCAGTTGGTAACGTGGACTAATCCAATTGGAGTAAAAATTTGATAAGACTTCAAATGATTGCACAATGATTCTTCAATGTTATCAGCCATTTCATCAATTCATCTTTGTACAGAACTCAAAGCAGTTTTGCGAATTATATCTGTCACTGGTTTACGTAGCACAGTAGTTATAAATTTTTATCGCTGGCATAATTAACGTTTCTCCAATGGTGTGTGGTTTACCTGTTTGAGCAATTAACAGAGATCTATCATATGAAGCTCGAAGTCCGTCATTCTGCTCCGCAGCAATCAAAAAATGTTTTGATACGCTTGGCCGGGCATTAAATTTATTTTCTAGATTTTGAAAGCAGTCTGCATTTTTATCCGTTTATCCGGAACAGGAGTAGTATCCATTAATCAGCCACCAATATCGTTATATCATATTGTTACAACTTGATGGCGTATAGCGTGAGAGCTATCCTAACTGAAATCTATGTGAAGTATTTCAAGTTCTTATGAGATTATTCAAGGTAAAAAATTTAAACCAATGAATCGTGGGCATTCAAATTCTCGTGAAATTGAAAATATAAAGTAAATTAAATTACAAATTTCATATCGCCCCCCTCACCCTGGTCAATGTCCAACATTTATTCGAGGCCTCTTATCGCCCCCCTGTATATTACAACCGTCCACTGGGGTGCGATGTCGACCCCTTTGTGAAAGACTGGTCTAAGGCGTTCGAGTCATCTGAGAAACAGGTAAAATACCATCCACGTACTAGTAATACCTATACAGCACAAAATATGTTAATTAGGAAGAAACACCTCGGACGATTAACACATGAACGATAACGAAATTGAGATCTAACGAATACTTTAAACATGTGATAATTAAATTTCCGTAGAAGTTTATATTTTTGTCTGAAAATCCGATTCTCTAATCTGATATTTTCTTAATTTGAATCGTTTGATATCTATATTGAAAATAGTATGTGTGTTTATGCGTATGTGAATCAAAATTTGATTTTTTGTCGTCGTTTTCTCAAAATTACTAAACAGATTTTCAAAATTTGACAAAACTCGATATAGACTCGTGTCGATTACTTATGTGAGACTTTTTGAAGAATTTTTCTGATTAGTTTTTCGAAAATTTGGCGGAGCAATTTCTTCGTAATTAATTAATTATTGAAAAAAATTGACGCTAATGGTGAAACTCTGTACGACGACAGAGTTAAGTCTATACGAATATCCTAAATTATCACAGGCTAACAACAATTGTGGTTTAAATATCAAAATGGTTCAAAGTTTTAAATGAGCCGCTCTTATTACACACCGTATATAGGCTCTTATTACAAACGTTGTGTTTGTACTGATTACCATTGACGTTCACACTTAAATAAAATATACGTTTTTAGAATATTATTTATGATGAAATTTGTTAAATAAATTATATTAAATTAATACAATGGAAAATATGCCAGTTGAGTATCACATTGTATGTATAATATAGTTTATTATATATGATAGTCGTTAGAAATTTTTTTTATAGCTAACTGATTCAAGTATTAATGCTTTTTAACTTCTCGTAGTTATAGTAAATGGGCCAAAAATCAAAAATGAATTTTTTTTTATCTTTACGTTTTGAAGGTTTCTGAATATTTTGGCATATGTCAGGAAAAATGGATGTGTGTGTGTGTGTTTTGTATGTCCGCATTTTTTCGTTCACGTTTTTGGGCGTACGGATCAACCGATTTGAATGGTTCAAAAAACATTCGATTCCTATAGATAGGGAGATGTGCTGATTAGTTTTTGACACAGGCAGGTCCAACGTTACGGAGATATACCACAAAGAGTGCAGAAATAGAAACGAGGTTTTGGAGAGAACGGAGTATCCGATTTGAATGATCTAAATACATTCAATTTGTAATGATTGGGAGAAGAGATGATTAGTTTTGGCAACGGCAGGTCCCAGCCGTTTTGGAGATTCCGAGATAATTGTGCAAAAATGTAGTTTTGAGAGAACTTAGCATACGATTTGAATGATTAAAAAAACTTTCTGCTTGTTTTGTCAGAATAATTGCTTTTGGAAAAAAAAAATCAACATTTTTTTTGAAATTTTGTTTGTATATCGAAAAACAATTCAGATTTTAATTTTAAATTCTGGCTAAAGTTCTAAAGCTCACTATATACTTTAAATAAATAATTTAAACTTCGTAATTCAGTTTTATATTCTTATAAATCTATCTCAAAACATTAAATATTCCTCGAACATTTCGTTACGGTACAGGAAGTTCCAGCAATTTGCCTTAGGGCACGATGCCATACACAACTAGTTTCTCAATTATTTCTTATATAAAATAATCTTGAAGTGATCAAAAATCATTATATTACGGTCAAAATTTCTAACACAAACTTGATTTTTGAAATGTGTTAAACCTAATATGCGTTTACCTGCTGCTGAATCAATGCTAATTATTTTGTTCATTAGCGAAGTGCTAATGACGACCTCATCAAACACTGGAGTTGAGCCTCCAACTAGACCAGTGTTACCTCCTTGTGGACAAACTGCAAGACGTTGCTCGTTGCAATACTTCAACAGGGCAGATACTTCTTGTGTGCTTTTTGGTTGTAATACAACACTGCTACGCCCTGAAAATAAAGTAATTTATTACTAATTCTGTCAATGATATGAATTACATAATTTTGACCATTAAATTAAATCAAAAATGAACATTTTTATACATTTTCACGTTTCAAAGGTTATTAAACATTTTGGCATACCTTAGAAAAAATGGATGTATGTGCGTGTGTGTGCTGATACAAATTTTCATCGACGATTTCGGGAACACCGATCAACCGATTTGAATAGTTCAAAAAATATTCGATTCGTATTGATAAGGAGACGTGCTGATTTTGGCGAAAGCAGGTCTGGCCGTTCCGTGGATACGGGGCAAAAAGTGTCAAAAACGGTAACTCAGTTTTTAGTCTAAGAGCCAGTGAAGTATTTGACTAACCTGTTTTCACAGAGGTAAAATTTTTTTAATGATATTTATTATCGACTCATTGAGAAAGTATCATTCTGCCAGTCATTCCGCGATTGCATAATCATCCCTTCAATTTGTAAAAATGTCAAAAAAAAATTTTCACAACTTGCTCCCACAAGGCGCAAATTTTGAGAGTGTATTAAAAGTTAAAAGAATACACACTCAAAATTTGAGCAATCGCAAACGCAATCGCGGAATGGCTGCCAGAATGGTATTTTCTTGATGGGTCGATAATAAAATATCATTAAAAAAATTTCTAGCTCTGTTAAAACAGGTTAGTCAAATAGTTCACTGGCTCTTAGACTATTTTAAGAGAACGGAGCGTTCGATTTTAATAATTCAGAAAACATTTTACTTGTATCGTCAAGATTAAGAACTGATTTTGGGAAGGCAGGTTCAGCGGTTATGGACTCTCAATAAAAATAAGTTAAAAAAATGTCATTTGGCGGTCAAAAATGTTTATTGGACATATGCACATCAAATTATCAGATATTTTAGTAATGTGTACATTTTGTGTATTTTTTTTTGGTTTCGTACCAAGATTTTTAATTACGGTACGGGAAGTTCCAGCAATTTACCTTAAGGCACGATGCCATGTACCCCACTTGTTTTAATTTCATTTAATATTATTTTGATGACCATAGCATTGCAATGCCGTTTGTGTGTTCGGATAGAAATTTTCGTTGACGATTTCGAGTACACGGATCAACCGATTTGAATAATTTAAAAACATTCGATTTGCGTTGACGGGGCGATGTGTTGATTAGATTTTTGCCGAAGCAAGTCTAGCCGTTTTGAAGATACGATGCAAAAAGTGCCAAAAATCGTAATTCTGTTTATAAGAGAACTGAGCGTCCGATTTGAATGATTTAAAAAATATTTTATTTTCGATGACGATATGATTTTTGTTGTTCCGTGTTCCCGAAATTGTCCACAAAAATTTGTATTCGCACACACACACATACAAATACACACACACACAAAATACAAGCATCCCCCTCATAACATGGTGCTTTTAAAGGGTTTGCTATAACCCGGTTTGAGAATTAAGCAAACCCCTAATAAAATAAGAAATATAGTGAAACCTGTAAAATTCAAAATTTTATCTAATCTAAAATTAGTAAAATCTCCGTACCATAGCTGAATAAATGTGATGAAGCTAGTGTAAAAGATAAGTAATTAAGTAATTTGATATTTATTATTCGAGTGCGTACGTTCTCTCTAGGATATATCCGAACAATATATTTCATATTTCCTAAACAAAGATCCTTTAAATAAATTGAGCATAAAAGTTTAAGAAAAATAAATTTGCATCTGTTAAATATATAAATATCATTTTGCTAAAAGCAAGTGATCGCAATTTTTTTTTGCAGAAAAGAATGCACGAATCTGAAGGTAGTACAGAAAACTAGTCAGAGAATGAAGATTTCTTGCAAAAAAAAAATCGCATTGGATAGCACTTGCTAGTTATTACAAAAAAAATCATAATTCATGTAATTTATATTACTTCTTAGATAAATTAATATGACAATATTTATTATAAAATCATGATATGTAGCATGTTTTTTTGAATTCTTGGAACGTAACCATTCTTTTTGTACTAGTTCTTTGTCCCGTATAACACGGATTCGCATAACACGCTACTTTTTGGAACGTAACTACCATCTTCTACTTATAATATAATATTCATCAAATTATTAACTTCCCGAAGGAGAAGTTTATGTTTTCATCAAAAAATCCGATTCGCTAATTTTATGTTTTCTCGACGTTTCAAGCCATTCTGAATCGAATGAGACCAAATTTGGAAATAGTATGTGTGTGTGTGAACAGATTTTTTGCCGTAAATCGACGTTTTCTCAAAAACGGCTGGACCGATTTCAAAAAATTAAAAGCCATTCGATGTATCTCGATGAGGACTATTATTTGTCAGGTGCGACAATCGGCCAAGCCGTTTCTTTATAAATCGCAGAAAAGTGAAAAATTTTTCGTCTACGTTTTACCCCGCAATTCTGAATAGATTTTGAAAATTCAAAAACCGTTCGAAAGATATTGGTTGGGAATCGTGCTGATTAGTTTTTGGTAGGGATTGGCCGGGGCCGTGTTCTTGTAATTTGAAAAAAAAAATTTCGTCGATTTTTAACTTCCCGAAGGAGAAGTTAAACGATGAAAAACGCAAAAAAACAAAATTTTTAGTAGCCAGTAACTTGAAAAGTCATTTCTTTTTTGAACAATATTATTAAACATTTTCTCTTCTGATTAGTTCTTTTATCGATATCCGATGTTATTTTGAAAAAGATACAATTGCACTACTTAAAAGGGATGTCATCCCCCCGGGAAGTGGCAAAACAGTCTAAATTAGTTTCACTTTTAAACTTGAAAGTAAGATGAACTTAATTCCAAAATTCCATGCAAATTGGAGCACATTAAAAATATTCAGACCCAAAACTCTCCATTGTCTTGAGTAAATATTTCGTATCCAATGTCAAACATGTGAATTTTTGACACAATGAAACTTCTAGATAATTTTTTGAGAAAGTAAATTATTTTTGTATTGTGATTTAGTAAAGGCAAAACACGACTGCATTTAAAAGTTAAAAAATAATAATCTGTCAAATTTCAGCTGCTTTTTGGCATTAATAATGTAGATATTACATTTTCCTCATTTATAATCATGAATTTATTATATTTTAATATTGCTTAAGCCTATAAGTGAGTAGATATGTGGGGATCAAGCTAGTGATGAGAAAAAACAATTGAACTTATCATATTTTTATATCATTAATTTTTATAGTCAATAAATTTTATAGATTTTTATACAAGTGGCGTTTATACTTTCATATACATTACTACTTCCACATTGATGACCTGCGACGCTTGAGATGGAGACAAAGGAGTATTTTTCGAGGATTTAAGAAATATATATTTTGACGCAGCATCATAATCACTGGTCTTCAGTGACGACTTTTAAGGTACGTCCAGTCCTCGGTTCATTGTAGTTAACGCACTACTACCTGAACCGGACTTTCGTGGTTACCCATTTGGTATATCCAGACCTCAGTGTTTATTGCTGACACAAAAAATAATTTAAGGCCTAGACTTTTCATTGGAATGCAATTCAACCTCTCCTTGTACGTTAACTCAACAAATCATCTTTTGATGCTACCTCCCATTATCGGTGACAGCGACGAGTCAAAACAAAATGATGACATAAATTATTTATTGGATTCCACAATTCTGGACTCTTATGTTAAGGAAACCAATAATCCTGATTTGGATAAAGAGCCAACTTCTTTCTTTGATAAGAACCCATCAGATACGAATACAACGCCTGCAGAAATGGAAACTGTACCCATAAATAATGCATTCCAAACATTAAGTAATTCTGATATAACTAATACCAATTAATTATGATGTTAGTGAAAATGGTGAGCAATTGATAAAAATGTTTGTCACAGAGCCATAAGGATTCGAGAATCCGATATTTGATCCAAATGGCTACTGAAGTTGACTAGATTATTTTAATCATTGCGAAAATTTATAATCTTACAGAGCGCTATCTGTTTATCCAAAATATTATAGAAATTAAAATTAATACAGTAGATCGTGACAGGATCTTCGAAGTTCACCAAGACATCGAGGTTCAGAAAGTTCACTACATGACTTATATTCAGAACCATAAGCAGAATTTGAAGATGATGGAAGGTCGAATTACCTACCATACGGTGGATCTGCCGACGAAACATTTGAATTACTAATTGACTAGTGCCACAATACTGCTATAATCTGCTTTCCCACCATATTTTTATATCGTGTTTTCCTGTATTTTCTTTTTAAACTGTGAGGTCAACACTGGGCAGGGAGTGTGTGGGGATCAAGCAGGCTAGTGATGTGAGAAAAAACAATTGGACTTGTCATATTTTTATATCATTATTTTTATAGTCAATAAATTTTATATATTTTTATACAAGTGGAGGATATACTTTCATATACATTACTACTTCCACAGATATGTTTGGCAAATGATAGTCTTCATTTGTTTTTAATGTCAAATTATGCCTTAAATATTTTCAAGGTCAAACAATGATAAGCGGTTTTTGTATTTTTTTTCTATTTGTTCTACAATCTAACTATATTTCTATGAATTAATAAATCCTAGAAAATTCCCTTAACAATCTTCACGAGAATTTATGAAAATCCGAATAATAGTTTAAGAGGATTAACCATTCATACCCTGTTACAGAAGAATTTTATGTATAAGATATATATTACATAATATTCACTCACCCCGCATACTATTGAGCCAGTCCACATTGTGAGGGTGCACGTCATACGGATCCGTTAACACGCGCGCCTTGTCGCCCCCCAATAATTGCTGGAAGCGATTTGTGTGCTCCATAGACAACTGGTTGTAATTTCCACGTTGTATTCTATATCGCTCCTAAGAAAAAAAAAAATTACGCTGTCACATCATATTTTTATTATTTATATTTACTAACGGTAACCGTTCACGCGATGCTGTGTTATACAAATAAACTAGTAGGGTGTATGGCATCGTGCCTTAAGGCAAATTGCTGGAACTTTCCGTACCGTAACGAAATGTTCGAGGAATACTGAATGTTTTCACATAGATTATTATTAATATTGTAACATTGTCTAATATTTATAAGAATTATATAAACTGAATTGCAAAGTTGAAATTATTTGTTTAAAGTATATTAGAACTTTAGTCAGAATTAAAAATAAAATCTGAATTATTTTCGATATACAAAAAAAATTTAAAAACTAGTTGGTTTGGTATTTAGCCTTGAGGCAAGTTACATGAACTTCCCGATATGTGTAAATAATCGACTTAATGAAGAAAATGAGTAAATAATATACTTCATTAATTCTACTTTTAAAAAACGATAATAAATTTAGCAAAGTTTGACGAATTTTTAAAATTAAACTACTTGTCGTAAGGCCGCAATATTACAGTAAGTTCTATAAGACCATGATGTATATCGCCAAAAAAAGTTCCATGAAAATCGGCTTAAATTTTTTTTTCAATAGGTAATTACAAGAAAACGGCTCGGTAGATTTTCACCTAACACTAATCAGTACCAGTCCCAACTAATATCTTTCGAACAGTTTTTGATTTTTTGAAATCGGTTCGGTAGGATGAGCTTAAATGTGGACGAAAAGATTAACACTTTTTTTCAAATTGCAAAGAAACGGCTTGGCAGATCGTCACACAAAACTGACAAACGATAGTCCTCACCAAAATACATCAAATAGCTTTTAAATTTCTAAAATCGGCTCAGGCGTTTTTGAGAAAACGTCGATCAAAGGTCTAACTTTGACAAATACCAAAAAAACAATACCAATTTTTGCAAACTTTGACGAATTTTTAAAGCTGAACCTGTTGTCGTAGGGCCGTAATATTTTAGTATGATATAGAAGACTATGGTATCTACTGTCAAAAAAATAATCATAAAAATCGTCGCATTTTTTTTTTAAACTTTATTACAAGAAAACGGCCCGGCCGATCTCTACCAAAAACTAATCAGCACGATTCCCAACCAATATCTTTCGAACGATTTTTGAATTTTCAAAATCGATTTATAACTGCGGGCTAAAACGTGGACGAAAGAGTTTTCACTTCTCTGCTATTTATGAAGAAACGGCTTGGCCGATCGTCGCACAAAACTGACAAACAATAGTCCTCATCGAGATACATCGAATGGCTTTTAAATTTTTAAAATCGGTCCAGCCGTTTTTGAGAAAACGGCGATTTACGGCAAAAAATCTGTTGGTGCACACGCACACACACACACACACATACTTTTTCCAAATTTGGTCTCATTCGATTCAGAATGGCTTGAAACGTCGAGAAAACATAAAATTACCGAATCGGATTTTTTGATGAAAACATGGGAAATTAAAAGGGGAAGTTAAAAAAAGAAAAAAAAAATGATACATTTTTTTTCTTTCCAAAATCAATTATTTTGTTAAAACAAGCTGAAAGTTCTTTGAATCATTTAAATTGGACGCTTAGTTCTCTCAAAAACTGCCGTTTTTTGCACATTTAGCTCTGTATTTTCGAAATGGCTGGGCCTGCCATTGCCATAAACTAATCACCACTTCTCCCCGTCATTACAAATTGAATGTTTTTAGGGTCATTCAAATTGGATGCTCCGTTCTCTCAAAAACTAGATTTTTATTTTCTGCACTCTTTGCTCTTCATCTCCGTAACTGCTGGACCTGCCTTTGCCAAAAACTAATCAGCACATTTCCCTATCGATAGGAATCGAATGTTTTTTTTGAACCATTCAAATCGGTTGATCCGTGCGCCCGAAAACGTGGGACGAAAAATTGTATTCATACATACATACACACACACACATCCATTTTTTCTGAGGTATGCCAAAATGTTCAGAAACCTTCAAAACGTCGAGAAAAGTAAAAAATTTCGATTTCGATTTTTGGACGATTACAATAACTTACCCTACGGGAAGTTAATAAAAATCTAAACTAAAATGCGATTGTGTTACATCTAGTTATCAAGATGGAAATCAGCGCCCAAATTATATTACAGCTTCAGTGATGCATATACGTGGAGTACTTAAGCAAATTCTGGGGGTTACAAATTATTCTACTTTTCAAAGTGATATAACTTTAGAATGGTGGCTCTGAGGAAAAAAGTATTGATACATGTTTTATAGAGAATTTTATGCTCTACAATTTTTTGTCTGAGAATTACAATAAAACTGATCGCAAAAACTTGAAAATCGTAAAAAAAATCATTTTTTGACCTTTGACCGTTTGCCATTTTTTTAGCTCGCACCGCTACGATGAGGACGTTTTTTGTATTTCTTTTATAATTGTAACTCAAGCAATTTTAGCAAGTTACAGCTAATTATGAATTTTTGTAACCTTGAATGCGTATATTGAACTGTAAAAATCCAACAACAACACAGCCATAGATCTTACACTAAATGGAATGCTGGTCGAGCGCAAAATAAGTGTCAAAGCATAAAATGATTATAAGGAAAATGCGCGAGCACAGAAAGTATAAGAATACAGATTTGAGGATGTATAGAAAATTGAAGAAAGAATTGAGGCGAGAAATGAAAAAAGTAAAGGCAAAATATGTGGACGAAACGTGCAACAGGATAATGTAACATCAAAAGGTAGGTTTGATCTAATATTTCAGGCTACAGAAGAGATGACTTGACTAAAAGGAAAAGCAGAAAAACATACGAAGTGGAAGACGATAATGGAAATTAGTGTGACTGACCACAAGAAAATTCACAGCGTGGACAATTACATTGAAAAATTGTACGATAGAGACCTGACAAAATTGAGGCCGAAGAAGAGAAAAGACAATAAGGGACCGTGCACATTAAGAAGCAAAGTCGAGGAAGCAATAAAAGACATGAAAAGGAGGAAGGCGACGATATACCGTCGAAACTGCTGATAGAGCAGGGCAACAACATATTAAAAAAACCGACCGCTGCATCAAATACACCGATCGGGCGAATGGCCAAAGGACTTCCCGAATGTCACGATAATAGCTCTTTAGAAAAAGTCCAAAACATTGCAGTCACCACAAGACGATCAGAGGAGATACTGGCCAAAATTCTTACTTGAAAATAAAATTGAGCAACACATAAAAGAGAAAATCATTTTCAGAAAAAGAAGAGACACCAGAGACGCCATTAAATTATTGAGAATAATATCGGACAGATTTTTCGACGTTAATGTTGCTTCTGCTTCATAGATTGGTAGGAAGCTTTTGACATTTTCAAATGGAGTACACTAATGGTAATTTTAAAATATATTGGAATCGATTGGAGAGACCACAGGCCGATCCAGAATCTGTATATGGGACAGAAAGTGAAAGTTCAGACAGAAAAATCACCACCATAAAGTACGCAGATGATCTCATAGTAGTATCGAAAACCCAAACAAGCTACAAAACATGATGAGCAAGATCGTCGAAGTGGGTAGAAGATACGGAATAGAAATCCAAAGAGATGGGCATATCAAAACGAGATACGCTTCCGTTCCGATAGTGTCCGTAATTTAAAAGCTTTGGGAATACCTTGATAAGAAGGAGCCGCGATGAGATTTGTGAGATGATTGGCCAAGACATTTTTTACTTGGATTTAGCGGATAAATATGTCTACAAAATTCTTTTAGTTGGGTAAAAAATATATTAGCAATAATTTAAATGATAAAATAATATCAAGGATAGAAGTTTTATATTGACACGTGGTACAAAAGATGAGATCGGTTCTTATCAGCTTAATAACTTATACTTTTTGGAAAAAGTGCGATTGTAAAGGCTCCGCTTCCACAAAATTTCAAGGTGTCTCTTGTGCAAATGTGTTTTTGCTGGTATGTTTTCCAAACGCCGGATTGGTGTTGGTATTGTGAAGAGAGTAAGCGCCCACTTCAGTGTGGTTTTTCAAAATTTAAATTGAAAAGTCTTTTTGCTTATCTTTTAAAATCAGTGCTCGTGTATTGATACCGGAAAGATTTCCGGGCAGGCGTATGGGGAAATACTCAGAATCACGGAAGCAACAAAAGATATGGACGTGCTTACTAGTGAATCGCTAAATTATAGAATAAGTATCAGACGCTGTCATAAGTATCTATCACCTATGGGTATGGACACAGACAGGGAAAATAAAAATGAGAATAGTGCAGTTATCATCCCCTTGCCATCTACCTCCAAAGTAGAAAATGCACCAACCAAGCAGAACACCGTCTTGAGCCCCTTGTTATCGTAACTTCAAACAAATAAATATTTAAAAAATACAATCAAAATTAAATTCAACGCCCAGTATTTAAAACCTCATTTACATAAAATCTTTATGGAACATGAGAAAATCAAGAAATTGTTTTGGAAATGCGATTATCAATTTTATACATATTCAAGACAGCAGGACATCCCTAAAAATGACCATCAATGGTTTACATCTAGGCATTTCAGTCAGCATTAAAACCCATCAGCGTTGGTCGTAATAACAACCCTTCTTTTCCTCGGCTGCTTCATCTTCACTGCGAAAACTCCTGTGTCGACCCTGCTTGCACTGACGCCGACCATATATACACCCCCAACGATTCAGCCCTTACAAGCACCGTTCCAGCCAACACCATCAATGATCAAACGACAGACAGACGCGCGCGGTTGGGAAGGCACTGCGATTTTGATAAAGTCTTGCATCAGACACGAGAAAGTGCCAAACCTGACAGCGGGCGATTCAGATTTTTCTGCCATCAATGTTCACAAGAGAGGATTAACTATCGTATCAATTTACATCCTGGCAGACGGACTTACAAAACCTATGTGGAAATGATTTAATTTGTAATTAATAATTTCTAACTATATTAAAATGCATTACAAAATATTTGTTTACAAAAATATATATTATGATAAGTCATTCTCATTTG